AATGAAGTCAAGTGGGTCTTAAGGAGCATTAACAATAAGGCTAGTGGAGGTAATAGAATTCCAGCTGTGCTATTTAAAATCCTAAAAGATGATGCTATTAAAGTGCTACACTCAATACGCCAGCACATTTGGAAAACACAACCATGGCCACTGGATTGGTAAAGATCAGTTTATATCCCAATCCTAAAGAAGAACAATGCCAAAGAATGTTCAAATTACCGAACAATTATACTTCTCTCATATGCCAGCAAAGGTCATGCTTAAGATTCTGCAAGCTAGGCTTCAGCAATATGTGGCCCAAGAATTACCAGAAGTGCAGGCTGGTTTTCGAAGAGACAGAGGAACTTGAAACCAGATTGCCACTGTTTGCTGGATTATGGAGAAAGCACAGGAGTTCCAGAAAAAAAAAAATCTACTTCTGCTTTATTGACTACACTAAAGCTTTTGACTCTGTAGATCACATCAAAATGTGGCAAATTCTCAAAGAGATGGGAGTACTAGATCATCTTGTCTCCTGAGGAATCTATATGTGGACCAAGAAGCAACAGTTAGAACCAACCATGGAACAACTGGTTGGTTTAAGATTGGGAAAGGAGTATGACAGTGCTGTATACTGTCATCTTACTTAATTCATATGTAGAATACTTACTCGACATGCCAGACTGGATGAATCAAAAGTCAACAAAAATCGACCTCAGATATACAGATGATAACACTCCAATGGCAGAAGGTGAAGAGAAATTAAGAAGCCTTTTGATGAAGGTGAAAGAGGAGAGTATAAAAGATGACTTGAAGCTTAAATAAAAAAGAAAACCCCAAGATCTTGGCAACTGGCCTGTCACTTCCTGGCAAATAGAGAGAAATGGAAGCAGTGTCAGATTTTCTATTCTTAGGTTCAACGATCACTGCATACAATGACTGCAGCAATGAAATTAAAAGACATTTGCTCTTGGAAGGAAAGCTATGGCAAATCTGGACAGCCTACTAAAAGCAGAGGCATCGCTTTGCCAGCAAAGGTCCATATAGTCAAAGCTATGGTTTTTCCGGTTGTAATGTATGGCTCTTAGAGTTGGACTACCAGGAAAGCTGAGAGCTGCAGAATCAATGCTTTTAAATTGTGGTACTGGAAAAGATATTTGAGAGTCCCTTGGACAGCAAGGAAATTAAATCTGTCAATACTTAAATTAATTTAGACTATTCTTTGGAAGGACAGATACTGAAACTGAAGCTTCAATACTTTGGCCACATACTGAGAAGACAGGCTCATTGGAAAAGACCCTGATGTTGGGAAAGATTGAAGGCAAAAGGAGAAGGGGATAGCAAAGAATAAGATGGATGGTGTCATGGAAACAAGGAAAATAAACTTGGAACAGACTTAAGGAGAGAGTGGAAGATAAAAGGGTTCATCAGGTCATGAAGAGTCAGACAAGACTGAACGACTCAACAACAACGAAAAATTGTCAGACCACATTAGGCATTTTGGGCATATAGCTTTAGTAACGGCAGTGGTGATTTTAGGAAGTAGAAATGTATATAGTTTTTATGTTGTCTGTGCAGATTGAGAAAGGGAAGAAAACTTAGTAAAACTACTGAAGTTGAAGAAAGTGTACAGAGCAAGTCACACAGTGGATTTAGGAAAAACATCTCTATCCTCATTTTGTTAATTCTTTCAGTAAGCATTTATTGGAGGAGCCTTTAAATTGGAAGTAAAAGAAGTGAAAAACAAAAATAGAAACTCCTTATAGCTCTCCATACAAATATGCCCCCCCCAAACACACACATGCACATAACTCTAGGAATTCTGAGCAAAATTAGGTGTTCCTAGACATTGACAGTTTATTGAGTCTGTTCCCCTAGATTCTTGCATATTGAAGGAATTCTTGTGTCTGTAGTAGATTTAGGCAAGGCAATCTTTTTTTCTTTTTTCAATTTATTTTTCAATTTTCTTCCATTTTTTCCTTTTTTTATTTCGCTCTCACTTTTTTTGCTTATCATCTTCTGTTCTTAAGCCTTCAAGTACTATTGATACTAATAGACATTAACCTTACTAGTTACATTCAGGTTTTAAGAAGTTTGCTGATAGCTGTACTTACAGATACTTATCAATAAGTAAGCTTATGTTTTTGCCTTGGGTATATAAACATAGATATATAATCTGTAGACCTCTGTGATAATTTTTTTGGCTATATATACTGTCATCAGTGAATTTCTTTACTGACCACTGAGATATATCATTGTAATTTACTAATTAGTTTGAGTTACTGTTATGTGATGTTGGTGGAAGCTAAAAACTCAAGACATATTTAGCATCCATGACATAAACTTTGGAGTAGTTATGAACAGGTAAAAAAGCTTTGGCATAAATATATCTATGTGTATATGCTATATATCCTTATGTAAAAACCTAGAGATTCAAGGGTTTTTAATAGTCTGTCGGTTTTAGTCATGTCAGTTAAACACAACCAACAAATTACATACCTTCTATCTTTTTAAAAATCCAACATTTCTCAGGAAGCCATTCTTTTTTATAGTATGAGCATAACATAATAGAAAAAGTCCTGGGATGGAAATAAAGGCTACTGTGGTATTAGTTATGGCTTTGCTACTAGCTTCACTATATGTCCTTGGCCTAGTTGTTTACTTTTCCTCATATGTAAAATAAGAATTGACCAGATGATTGCTAAATTAAGGTTCCTTCTGCAGTTCTTTGGTCTGTTTACAATCTAGAATTTAACCTAGGTTAATTCAGTGGCAAGATATAAGCAACTTTTAGAAGAAAAGGAGTACCCAACATAGAAGAAACAATCCATACAGGGAAACAAGTTTAAGTTATAGGATCATTACTCTAATTTTACTAATAAATAGAACACATTGGGATGTAAGTAAGGGCCACTAAAGGATCCTTTACTATCTAGCTAAAAATTGTCCACATTATCAATTAGAGAAGAGGGAAAGGTCCAACAATTTCACAAATAGGATAGCATGGGGCATGTCCAGATACAGGTTAAAAATGGGCAACTTATTGGCAGGATCATTTCTTTTCTGAGGAATGGGGGGAAATATTTTGGAGTTCATGACTTGTTGCTTATCTGTTTTAGACAAGTATAGTAGCACTTTCTTCACTGCTGCACTTATTTATGTCAGACAGACTTGACTGAGTCTAAGTATTTCCACTGGATAAAATAAGCCCCCCCAAAAGCAACAAAAAAAACAAAATGAACATTGGTAGCTCAGCTCATCACTATTTGCACCAGGAGGTGGCAGTAGAATACTTTTTTGAAAAAAATTACTAGCTGCTTTCATTTTTTAATCACATTGTTTCTCAGTTTTGTCGCTAAGGCAAACCATGATATTCTCGCTATCACTGTGGATGAAAATAAAACCATATGCTCTTGGTTCTGGTCTTTGTATGTTTTAACTTCCCGTGACGATTTACTCTGATACCTCTTCATGGCATGGAGGTAATTCTGGCTTCTCAAACGTTATGCCAGTGCAGTACAGGCTTTGTCAAGTCTTCAAACTTAATGTTTCTTCAAACCAAATATATCTGTTGTCAGAGGACTAGACTGGCTAAGTTCAGAGAGGCTGCTCATGAGAAGGATTGACCACCACATGATGTTTTTTGGCTTCTACAGCTCACGAACAATTTACTTGTGCATCCTGTGTCAGTGAAGGGAGTATTCACACCAATGAAATCAATGTATGTTTTTATAAATGTCTTGAAGTCTTTATGTTTTTATAGCTCTCATTAACAACTATGTATTTAATTGAAAATTTTTACTTTTCCCAAATATTATCATTATCTTATATATCATTACTTGCCTTATTCATTTACTGAATCCATTGTTTATAATTTTTTTATTTTAACATTTTGTTGAGCAATACACAAATGTTTAATTCCACAACTTTGAAGGTTGATGATTTTTCAAAAGGTTTCATACTTTTTTCCCCTTGTTTTTCCATGAAACAAGGTAAACTAAGAATTCTTTTATATGAATAAAACAGCATTTTAATAAGTCATTTAAATTGACAAATTTAGTTTCATGCATTTAAATGCTATCCTGATAGAAGTATGAGCACGGCAAAGTGACCTACTTAGTCTGGTGACAGCAGAAACTATTGCCCTTGTTTGGCCAGCTGGTCAGGCGATTCTGGTGGAATCAGAGCCACAAACAGTTGTTGATCCAGCCTTTTGGCATAAAGAAAGATTCCAGGGCAGGTGATGAAAGTCTTAGGCTATGGCAGTAGGTAAAAAGTGCACAGGGTTGTAAATCATCATAGTTTTATTAAGTCAGTCAATTTGGGAAGAGTTTTATGTGGTTTTCAAAAATGAGAATATTTACACTACTGAGGTTTCTTCTAATTTTTCACACTGTGCTGCTTACATTCTTGTAAATTCCAAAGTTCTTGTAAAAATAATAATTCAAAACAGACTTTTCATCTTATGAAAACATGCTTTATCAAGATCACTTAAAAAACATATATCTTACATGCTTTGGAAATCCTACAGACCACAGAGAAACTTTTACCTAATACACCCTAAAATAACACAATCTGCCAGACCACAGTACATCCGCAATTTAGAATAGCAGATGTTGCTACACATGCTTCTTTTTAAGACTAAAAAGCAGCACAAGAGAAAATAAAACAAAAGTTTAAAATGGGGGGGAAGCATGATAAAGATGAAGGTTTGGAATAGCCAGAAGAGAGATGTAAGCAATTGGTTTCAAAAAACCAGAAGAAAAAGATGTGACTGTCAGGGAGCTCTATGTTTTGTGGATGCCTTTTCAAACACTTACGTGATCTGTCATCCTCATTCCATTAAGTTAGACTTGTTAACTTTCCATGAAAATGGATTTTAATTTAACTAATGAAAAGAATAGTATATGTTCGTTTAAAAACTTTGATTTAAAGTTTTGTTCTAAAATGTGCATTAGGGTAGTTTTTTCTCTTAATGTTTTTTTTTTTTTTAACATTTTTTGTTTTGGTTTTAACTTTAGCTGATCCCACAGTTAAGGACTTAATTGGAGGCTTCACTGCTCTTCATTATGCAGCCATGCATGGTCGAGCCCGGATTGCACGCTTGATGTTAGAATCTGAATACAGAAGTGACATTATCAATGCAAAAAGCAATGATGGTTGGACTCCCCTCCATGTAGCTGCTCACTATGGTAGGGACTCATTTGTCAGACTCCTGCTAGAGTTCAAGGCTGAGGTCGATCCACTGAGTGATAAAGGTACAACACCGCTTCAGCTGGCCATTATCCGAGAGAGGTCAAGCTGTGTGAAAATCCTTCTGGATCACAATGCCAATATTGACATTCAAAATGGTTTCCTGTTACGATATGCTGTGATCAAAAGCAATCACTCATATTGCCGAATGTTCCTTCAGAGAGGGGCAGACACAAACTTGGGTCGCTTAGAAGATGGACAGACACCATTACACTTGTCTGCCCTTAGGGATGATGTGCTTTGTGCCCGAATGTTATATAATTATGGAGCGGACACTAACACAAGGAACTATGAAGGACAGACCCCATTGGCTGTTTCAATAAGTATTTCTGGAAATAGTCGACCCTGTTTGGATTTCTTACAAGAAGTAACAAGTATGTAATATATTTTATTATAATTGTCATTGGTATTATTGCAGTTGTTGTTTTTACTTTTTACGTGTTTTTTTTTTAAGAATTTGAAGCATTTACAAACTTCATATAATATCAGGCATCAGTCATTCACAACAGCCCTGACTGGTAAGTAATGCTTTATTCCTTCAAAATAAAAAGGAAGTTACCTTCACATCACATTAAACATCCTGTGACAAATTAAAGGGGAATGGATGTTGCTACTGGTGTTGGGGATAGCTGTAGTTGTACAATAGAAAGGGGAAGAGAAGAATGAAGGAGAATCAAGAAAATTACAAAAGGCTCATGTTAGAACAATGGAAAACAATCCCCATTGGCCATAAGGTTTATCTTTTCAGACTCCCCAGATTTGATATTAATTATTAGGATTAACGTAAGTCTAGATATAGAATGATATTGCAGCCTGTGATGTGTAATTAAGATATCTTTCAAATGTTTGTTGTATTTTGTATATTGTGAACTTATATTTAAAGGAACAGTGATGTTATAAGTTCACATTTGGTTAATTCATGAGTATGTGCATCCTAGCAATTACAGATAAAAAAAACATTTGTTTTACAATTTTGTTGTTGTAATGCACTATTTACACTAGATTTTTTGTTTGTTTGTTTTTTAGTTTCTTGAAGCATATTATGCTTACTCTTTATGGGAGTGGAAAAAATAAAGTCAGGCCTAAATGATAGCAAAACAATTCATTAAAACATTTGGTTAGTGCAGTGATAAAAATCAATCATACTTATTTGAATCATTGAATCAACAGTCATTGTGGATCACATGTTAACCCCATGCACTGTTAAATTAAATGTTCCTTGCTGTTGCTCTTTCCTTTATTTTATTTGATATTTTTAAAGTGTAAGTATTTTTAATCAGTTTTCATGATTTCTTCAATTTCACAGTTGCTCCTTTTCCAGCAAAAATTAGAGGTTTTCTTCATAAGTGAATTCATTATTCTACTCCTTAGTCATTTAGATGTATCTTTTTTCTGAAAAGATAGAATGTGTGGTTCAGAAATAAGACATAAAATCAAATTTAGAGTTCAAATCTTGCCTTTATTACTGATTTCAGGCAAGTGGTATCCATGTTGGTTTTCTTCCTTTCTATAAAAAAAGGTAATTACCATGCTTTGCCAATCATCTTTGGATATGTTTCATGATATTATGCCACTAGCAAAGAATTGATACTTAGAGTGCCTAGCTATTTGCTGTCTCTACTACAGGAAGATCTGTGTGATCTATACATGTGTTATATATCACGTATCACACAGTCTTGTTTTTCTTAATAGGGATGTCTGCTTTGGATCTGCTTTCTCTCGTCTAGCTCGTTTATTACTAACCATGTAGTACAACAGAACTGTCGGGCTTTCAGCTCACATTTATATAGTAATTTAAAATTTACAAACCATTTTCCTCAGCATCTTTGTGAATTAAATAGTGTATTATCCCCATTTTACAGATGAGGAAGCTAATGTGTAGAAAGGTTGTGATTTGCCCAAGGTCACACAGCTATTAAATAGCAAAGCCAATACTTAAACCCAGATCTCCTAATTCTAAGCCCGGTGCTCTTTCTGCCACCTCATACCTGTCATATACCCTACTACCACTATGCCTAGGTAGCTTAAATATAGTACTGTTTGTTCCTTGAGTTTTAAAGGCAATTTTTAATGTAGTACCTCATCCCCACTCCTCCCCTGCACCTTTCCTAGGGCTCTTAAATGGTGTATTTGATCATTATTATATAAGATGTAATTTTAACATTGTCTACTTAAGAGTTTGAGGTGTTTTGATCTCATATGTTAATGTTATTGTCATTATCAACAACATTAAATGAAACTGGTTCAGCTACATAGGGAAGGGTATAATGGCCTGCCTCATTTGTCATTATTTGGATAAAATAATTTCAGCTCAACTAGAATTTGAGGAGGATTGGAATAATATGCTTGCAATGATATAGCTTTTTCTTTCTCCCTGTAACCCTGACCATTTCATCTCTAGTGCTATGATTTTTAAAAAGGTATTGAATGAAATTTCAAACCATGCATCTCTCAGCAACTTTCCTAGCAGTCTTCATTACAGCACTGATAAGGACTTTGGTATTGTCACAGATAAAACTAACCTGATGTAGAAGCTTAGAATTATGCCATACTATTATCTCCTGTAAATTTTTCATTTTATTCTTTTATGGACTCTATTTTTTAGAATATTTGATTTTCTTTTCTTCATATGTCACATTTTCTTCATATATAACATTTTTGAGACTCAGTTGAATTAACCTTTGTAAACCAAATCCAAGAGGACACACTGCCATTTATTAATATCCTTCAACTATCCCCTCTAACAGCTTTTTACTGTTAAAATAAGAAGAATTAGGAAGGTGAATTGCTTCTTACCATGTGGACCTAAAAACTTTGGCTCCCTGTGGCCTGGAGCAAAGGTTCTCAACTTTTTTTTGTGTAATGGACCCCTTTGGCAATCTGAAGCTTAAGTATCCCAAGTCAGAATGTTGTGGTTGATATTCATAATTGAAGAAAATGCCAGATTTCAGTTAGAGATTAATGAAAATATTCTTTTTTTCCCCCTGAGTTCATGGACCCCTTGAGGGTCTTTGGACCTCAAGTATAAATTTTGGTTAGAAGAAATAGAAACTTGTTTAAGCATTTTTTAAAAAAGACTTTCAGCAAATAGGTGGCTAAAAATTGTTCAGCTGCTATTAAAGTACCAGAGCTACTAGAGTCAGTTACACTAGTGTTCTAGAAGAGTATGTCAAAGAGGAGGAAACCTGAAATCATATTTATTCATCAAACTGATGGATGGAGTTTTGGAGTAGAATCTGTATTCCCAAAGTACTGAACATAGTGCCTTACACATAGTAGGTATGCAGTATATATCTGTTTAGTAAATGAATGAGGAAAATGAGCATCTCAATAAAATTTTCAGGAGTGATTTCCTTTTATAAGTTAAAAAAATATAGCATTCCATTTGTCTTAAGCTTCAGTAGTCTTAAGATTGTTTATTGCCAGAAATAAATTGAATGTTTCTGTCTGACCTGGGTATTAGTTCAGGTTCGTTCTTTTAGTCAATAGTTATGTAAAAAGTTAGCTGTTCTTCACTAATATTCTTGCTTATGATGTAGGAAATCAAAGTGAAAGAAAATGCTCACTCCTCGGAAGTTCGAGGAGTGCTAAGAACTGGGAACTGCATTCAGTCATTTGACATGGAAGAGAACTGAAACTTATATTACTTTTGATTATCTAGTTAGATTCTATGACCCTCAACGTATGAGGAAAGTAAAATTGCCTCATAATGATTATTTTGTAGAAACATAAAATTTATTGGATGGACTAGCTCTAAGGTCTAAATTTTGATTAGATATATATCATTTGATCCTAAGGAAGGAAGAAAAACACTGTTGCCCTAAGATTCTAAAAATCCTGGGACTTCTTAAAATTATTATTAATGTCTTTTGTTTTTTTTAAATCACCAAAATTTTCCCCAACAGCCCTTCCCCTTGCAGAGAGACATCCTATAAGACAAATGTTTTTAAAGATAAGACATAGAAGGAAAATAAGATGTAGAAGGAAAAAAATTGACAAAATTTATCAAAATTATAAATTTATCAAGAAGTCTGAAAATGTATATAGCATATCATTCATAGACCCCCCCACCCACCTTGGCAAAGGGGTGAAGTGTGGTTATTTTCTCATATCTCTTCTTTGGAGTCGTGCTTACTTTTTGTAATTTTAGAAATGTTCACTTTTGACTTTTTTGTGGTTCTTTCTGTTTACATTGTTGTAGTTGTGAATTTTGTTTTTCTTGGCTCTGCTTACTTCACTTCAGCAGTTCATGTAGATCTTTCCATGATTTTCTGTATTCATCATATTTGTCATTTCTTATGGTACAATAATATTCCATTACATTCATGAATCACAATTTATTTAGCTCTTCTCCAATTGGTGGCTTTGCTATCTCAAAAAGTGCTACTATAAAGATTTTGGAATGTATGGGAACTTTCTTCTTATTTGGGACTTATTTTTCAATAAATGGGTCCCAATTTCCTCAACTGTAAAATAAGAGATTTGGACAAAGGTCTCTTCCTGCTTTACAATTCTGTGACTGTGCCTTTAATAATTTCACGTCTGTTAATCACCTCTTGAAAAGCAGTGTGGCATAATGGTATAGAGAACCAGCCAAGAAGAGACACCAACTGGCTTTTTAACCCAGGGAAAATCATTTAACCCTCGGTGCTGTAGGCAGTTCCCTAAGATTTTAAGTTGCAGAGGAGATGTTGACCTCTGCATTGGTAGTTTCTTATTCCAGTGAAATCCCCTGTCTAGTTTCTTTCTCTAAGAATCTCTCGAAGATAAACATGGAGAGGAAAAGTGTGATTTTAGCATATTGAAGTAAAAAAAGTTGTAGTGAAATCTCAGTTATCCAACATCCTGTCTTTGAGATGAGCTTTATTTTGATGTAGCAAAAATAGTCTTCTTTAGCAAAGCACTGTCTTGATTTCATTTTATAAACATGAAAAACATAGGAGTGACCATACTGGGCAAACTCATCGTCCAACAGATTATTGTCTATAATAATTCCCAGAGATTTTCTATGGACGCCTAGATAGGTGTCCTCCTTGACACTGACTTTAAATATCTCATCTTTTCTCTATAGCTCTTTCTTTATGCTTCTGTCATTCATAAATTTGACCAAAGGTAGTGTGATGAATTGGAAAGGACACTGAACTCTGGCTTCAGACCAGGTTTCCAGTTTTTGCCCTTTATACTGCCTTGTGTGTGAATTTAGGCAAGTCACTTTACCTCACTAGATCTCAGTTTTCTCATCTGTAAAATGGGGAGGTAAGATTAGATGTTATCTTTCAACTCAAAGATCCTATGACTCCATTTATATTTCCTGCCATTACTAGTTTCTGGGGGTACTAAGCCCTTAAATTTATGGCCTGCTATGTAAAATAGC